AGAACCATCGATCAGCTGCCTCCTGCACACCCCCTACTGGGGCTGTGCCTGCAACCAAGGTACATGCCCTTGGCCGGAATCGAACCTGAGACCCTTCAGTCCGCAGGCCGACGCTCTATCCACGGTTAGGGCTCAACTCATCCTTTTGTTGCCGTTTCTAATTCAAGCCAGAGCCATTTCTCTGGCTCTGGGGGGTTCATGGAAACTACTTATAATTTGGACTCAAGAGTTTTGTCCTGGCACCTGGAGTGTATATAGTAGATCTAGGCAAGGCCTGTCAACCGAAACACACTTTTTCTCCGGTGATGAATGAATGCGGTGACATTGATGCTTGGTCTGCTGGGTTGAATGAGGTACCTGGAGTGACGATGCCTTAAGAACTGCGGTGGGTCGGACCCCAGGCCCCTAGGGGTTTGAGGCTGAAATCCGTCAGCCTCCACCTGGGCATTTGGCAATTTCCACGGCTCCTTTATCAAGTGTTTCTTTTCTCAGGCCCTTTTAGCTTTCCAGCCTTTTCTAGCTGTGCAATCTCTAACCTGGGCGCCATCCCATGTGGCTTTGCAGCCTCCATGACTTTTGCTCCCAATGTCTCTAAGTCGGCGGCCCAAATATACCGGAAAGTGCAGCTCAGGGGCTCCCGCAGGTGTGGGTTTAGATCTTGGTTGCACCCCTTGCTCGCTGTCCCTGGGACATGAAGCTAAATTACGTCTCTAGTCATTTCCTTGTCTACTTCAGATATGTGAAGAGAGGCATGGCTGCATGACATTTTTTAAACAATGCAAACGGCTTTAATAAGGGGCCTCAGATTTAGCAGCCTGTAAAGTTTGTTGCCTCTCCTGTCCGGCGTGGCTCAGTGGTTGAGCATCGACCTATGAACCAGGAGGTCCTGGTTCGATTCCCCGTCAGGGCACATGCCTGAGTTTCGGGCTTGATCTCCAGTGCGGGGCATGCGGGAGGCAGTTAATGCATGATTCTCTCTCATCATTGGTGTTTCTCTCTCTCTCTCCCTCTCCCTTCCTCTCTGAAATAAAAAAAAATTATATATATAAATATATATTTTTTTAAAGTATAAGTTTGTTGCCTTTCCATGCTTTACCCTAAATTATTTTACCTTAAGTTGGTGCTTCTTCCCGCCCAAGGAGCTCGCTTTTGCAACCTTAGGACTGTCATTGTCTTCTGGTGCCGCCCTTTGTATTTCTTTATATATATAAATATATTTTTTTTTAAAGTATAAGTTTGTTGCCTTTCCATGCTTTACCCTAAATTATTTTACCTTAAGTTGGTGCTTCTTCCCGCCCAAGGAGCTCGCTTTTGCAACCTTAGGACTGTCATTGTCTTCTGGTGCCGCCCTTTGTATTTCTAAGAGGCCCCATTTGTTTCTCATTTGCACCGACCTCCCTCTGTTCTCTAACCAACCACATCTGTTTTGGCGAAGGCTCTCCCGCCACCCCTGCCGGCTGCTTTCTGCCCTGGGGACCCAGCGAGGCTCATTTAAACGTAAACGGTGGTGGTTGTTTCACTTCAGTGTGCCTTTTACTGTAAGGAAGCCAACATGTCATTGGTTTCATTTTATTTTTTAAAAGTATACTTTTATTGATTTCAGAGAGGAAGGGAGAGGGAGAGAGAGATAGAAACATCCATGGTGAGAGAGGATCATGGATCGGCTGCCTCCTGCACGCCCCACACTGGGGATCGAGCCTGCAACCCGGGCACATGCCCTGACTGGGAATACAACCATGATCTCCTGGTTCGTAGGTTGATGCTCAACCACTGAGCCACCCCAGCCGCGCCCATGGCATTTTTTAAGTGGCACCAATGGGGACCAGAAGGCAGTGCTGGTTGGTGCCTGCTTGCGTGTGTAATCCTCAGGCTTCAGCATTGTTTCTGCACTCAGGGCCCTGTGCCTGGGGCCTCAAGGCTCTGTAACGTCCCATTAATTCCTAACTCTGCTTGCGCCTGCACCTTCTGCTCATTATCACAGTCTAGCGCACCCAGTGCAGTGAACATTCCTGAAAATCCTCGGTGGGGAGGGAGGGCCTCGGTGGGATGTGGGCAGGTCTGGGAGAGGGGGGAATTTAGAGAAAACCCCAGGCCCTTCTCCGGATGGCAGGACATTAGCGTTGGCTCACCTGTAAAAGCCAGCTGCCCTTTCCCGCCAAACTGTACATCAGTCGTGTTCATTGTCTTTTTTTTTTTTTTTTTACAAAAATGTCTTATTATGGAAAAATTCCAAACATATGCAAAAATAGACTATTAGAACACATTCCTGGGGATCACCCAGCTTCAACAAGTATCGATTTATGGCTTGTCTCTTATTTTAAAAAGTATATTTTTATTCATTTCAGAGAGGAAGGGAGAAGGAGAGAGAGATAGAAACAACGATGAGAGAGAATCATGGATCAGCTGCCTCCTGCATGCCCCCTACTGGGGATTGAGCCCACAACCCAGGCATGTGCCCTTGACCGGGAATCGAACCTCAACCTTCTGGTTCATAGGTCGATGCTCAACCACTGAGCCACGCCGGCCCGGCAATCTATGACTTGTTTTGATTCATTTCTATTCACCTATTCCCAATACCCACCCTCACCTAAATGAGTTATCCTTAAGCAAATCCCAAATAATTTTATTTCATTCTAAATATTCCAGCATGTATCTCTAAAAAAGTGACTCTTTCTTTAAGAAATACTTTTAGTGATTTCAGAGAGGAAGGGAGAGAGAGATAGAAACGTCAATGATAAGAGAGAATCATCGATTGGCTGCCCCTTCCTGCATACCCGCCGCTAACGGTGTGTCTGAAGAATAAAGTTTACGGGGGGGGGAGGGGGCAGTTTAAAGCTAGGAATCCAGTGAAACTTCTGGATGTTGTGCATGACATGTATCTGTGATGTCATCTTTCTTGGTGATCACAGACCGCGGAGCTGACGATGCAGGAACACCGGCTGAAACTCGTTGTCCAGCCCTGACACTCAGGAGGGTCATCTGGGCCCCGTCCAGTGTCCCCAGGGCTTCGAGGCCGAGGGCTGAGAGCATTTCTTGTGGGAATAGGAACATTCCTAAGCCCAGATTCTCAGTCGTAAATGGCCCTGGCAGTCTTCTCGAAGACAGATTTTTAGAACGTGAGCTGTCTGTCTGTGGCCCTGTGTGTCACTCCCCCGGAGCAGCTGGGGGTTGCCAACTCCTGGCATCTTGAGAGAGCGAGCCCTTTCCCACGCTCTCA